CCCCAAAACCCCAAAACCCCAAAACCCCACTAAGCTACAATTCTCACATTTTTGAATGAGATAGTTATTGAATAATTTGGTAATTTAGGGTAACTTAATTCAATTTCCCTTCTTTTTAAGTACTTTAAGTCTTGGATCCTCCATAAGTTTCTGATCCAACTCCTCGAATTTCTTGAGAGAGTTTCTATAATGCTGACTGGCACGCTCAGTAAGGATTTCAATTCTAAAGTTAGCCTTGCTTACTTCTTTCTCGTACTTAGCCTCATCCTCCGCAGTTATATTATCACCTTTACGCTTGAGGTTAGCCTATTAATAGAGATAAAGAAATGAATTAAACATACATATGCTGTCTCTAAGTTCTTCTGCTCTTCTTCTAATCTTCTCTATATAATCTCAGCTCTAGTGAGAAGTCTTTCTTTTAAGTTTCTAAGTGCTTCATTCTTGACATTAATAGCTGCCTCTTCATCTAATTCGGAGTTCTCTAAGCTGAGTTTCTTAAGTATAGGCAGAAGATAATCTTTCTCTTGTTCCTTTTCATTCTCTTCCTCATCCTTCTTTTTACCTTGCTTCATCTTGTCTCTAGCTTTATCATAGATAGACTTTTCAAGTACTTTTGTAAAGATGTCATCTTGGTTGGGCTAAGATCTTTATTGTTGAATTGTTTTTTCTCCTTCTGATCTCCATGTTGATTCAGATTATGCATTCTTTTCATATTCCTTGATTTATTCATGACATCTTCTCTCCATCTCCAATATTTTCTTGTTTATTTGTTGTTGCTTATTTTCTTCTGTATCTTTCTCATTCATATCTCCTAACTTGGCTTCACCAATCAGAGCGTCTCTTTCAAACTGCTCAGAGTTAGATGTAATCTTTCCATCTCGGAAATGATAGAAGAGAAATACTTTGCCTTTTTCAAGATTGAATTCAGTCCTTCTAATTTGTGATTCAGCTGATAATTCTGGATCCATAGCAAACTTCTAAGCCATCTTAAGAATGACACTCTCTCCCTTGGATTAAGTTGAATTAGACCCTGGATTTTACCCAGTAGTGCTTTGTATGTTACAATGATTATCCTAAATGGTCAAATCTTTCTTTTGCTTTATCTTATTTGGGTTGAATGTTACTGATCTATAGATTAGTCTATCCTCTCTTCCCTTGTATCTCTCAAAAGTCTTTCTTCCAATTTACTCCTCTCTGTAAATTAAACCATCCTTGTTACGATGATGGTAGAAGTAAATCTTTCTAACTCTGCCATCGATCTGAATAAGCTTTTTCCAGTAATGAGATCTCTCACTGCTTTCATAATGCTCTATTAGTTTGAAATAATATGGGAATCTTCTTCGTAAAGTCAACTTGTCCCTTCTATTTTTGTAGTAGGAACGAATTTCTTTGGTGATGAGTCGCTTGTAATCCTCATAGATAGTGATTCTCTTGACAAGTCCATCAACTTAAGAGCACTCTGCGTAAAAATCTACCTTTACCTTCTTATAAAATACTGTCTTCTCACCATTAGGGCAAAGATCAAGGAATTTATCTCTGTTCACAAATAACTTTGGCGACCATGAAGGAGGCATATCTAAGACATCTTCATCCTTTCCAAGAGCATCTTCTTCCTCCTCTTCATCGTCATCTCCGTTTTCATTACCTTCATCATCATGATCTCCCTTTTTCTTATCTCCTTACTGAATCATTACATATTCCCATTCTCCAGTTTAATCATCTTAGAAGTCAAAGTTTATTTCATCGAGGCCTCTTGAGGGATCAAGGTTAATCCAAAAGTTTTTGTGATTAAAGATAGATTCAACTGAATAGTATGGAGCATCTTAAACAGAGTATTTTCTTCCAGTTGTTGGTTCAATGAAAAAGGTTTCTGAGAGTTCTCTGTTTCCTTTTTGCATTAAAACCCAACAATGAAGTCTAGACCTTCCATATTCATCTTCTTTTTCATAATCTGGAGCATCATCATCAATGGTAACGGCTTTGATGCGAGCTTCTTCCTCGTCTTTTTCTCTATTCTTTCTCATTTCCTCATCAAATTCACTCATATGAGGTCCTTTCTTTGTAACTTAGAAATCTTCAATTGGAGTTATTAGAGATGGTTTCTTTTCGCTCATTTGCTCCTCATCTTTATCTACCTCTGGATCTTCTCCATCTTCATTGTCTGGCATTTCAATAGGGAATGGACATTCCATTAAAGCCTCATCTTTTGTTGTAATCTCCTTAGGAGCAGTGCCATAAACACAGTATGCATCATACCCACAACCAATTAATAATGAACAGAGAACTATAGCCATATCGAAGGAATCTCCAGCCTACCATTATAGCACATTAGCAGGTGAAGGTATAATCTTTGGCAATTTATTTGGGAATTGAAGTTCCTCGTATTCAATGAAATCAGATACAAATTTTGAGCATTTATCCCATTCATACAACTCAGTATATGGAAGCTTAGTAGGTCTTAGAGTGGTGCAAATGAATTTACGAATTCCTGATTCGTTTTTAGGGGCTAGAATGAGTTTTCTATTTGGATCATAGATAACTTTAAATTATCTTTTATATTCAAGAACATGTTCTAAAACAAGCTCTTCCTTTGAGGTATTCTCAAAATATGATCTGGGAGGTTCACTATACTAAAGAAGGATGCAAAGAGATTGAATTTACCTTGAAATTCTAGCACCTTAAAGTCTTTGCACTTATTTGATCATCAAGAGTATCTGGAACTTCTAAAGGTTTGAAATCTTCTTCCATTTCTTTATTTAAATCAGTTAGATTATTAATACTTGCTACTTATTTCAAATATAACTTGACGGGGTTTTGGGGTTTTGGGGTTTTGGGG